TATATATATATATATATGTATCAATATATATATATAAACATATATATATATATACATATATATATATACAAATATATATTATATACTTCTGCACACAAGCACATAAACATGTATAATTCTACAGAAATATACACACATTTTCATACACAATATATTAATGATTGATCAATAAACACATACATTTTACGCCGGTGTATTTTTCTGTTTTTCACAACATTTGCTTTTTTTTTCAACCGCATCGAACGGTGGTTCATCGTATCTCGGTTAATACCTCATAGCCAAGAGCATTTGGGTCCGTTCTAAGGCATTGGTGTTTATATATATTTTCTATGAGATATTTCTCATGTTCATGTGCCTTGTATTCTTGCACTTGCACAAATGAGGATTTATCATTCTTGAATGACACGCCTGCACAGTCTTGCGAGAGATCACGCCACGATCCCTTTTTTTTTTGGACTGACATGGGCATCTGTTCGCATCATCAGATACGTCGCATATTGTGAAAGTAGATCATGAGCAAATCAAAACGCATCCTACATCAAGCACCCTCGAGGCAGCTGCGAACCCCAGTAAAAAGGAGGATACGCATATGAGTGACGGCGAGGTGCAAGGTGTGTGCGATTCTGTTATTTCTAGATAAGTGCTCTATTTTTTTCGACTCTGGCATGCGAGTAACCTGTGTTTATGAGCTGACAAGATATCCTAAATTGGCGTCATTGATGCTCTACCTTTCGGTCTGTAGAAGAAGATCTACCTGGGTCTATCTCTGTGCTGGTGAAGTCTTTGAAGGGAGCCACGTACACCATAAAGGTATGTCGAATTAGTTTAACACAACCTCACACTTGATTGATGTCAAATTAGTGTAACAGAATCTCACACTTGATTGAAGTTAAGCCCACACAAGTAGAACGTCTGGCATTGTGCGTACATACGGACAGGGTGCGACACTCACTTTGAAGGCAAATACAAATTCACACGCATGTATCACGACGACCAATATAGCAGGCACACGCATACTTAATGACACAAGCTCTAAGAACGGTAGAATAGGCTCTGAATGCACAAATATATACGCCTTACAATGACACATGTACGATTGATTTGTGATAAACATATTGAGATACATGGCGAATACGCACACATATGAGATCACATAGGCACGAAACTTGATGCAGACCAAGCATGTTCTCTTTAGATCCGTTATTGAAAATTCTACCATTAGACAAACCATCTCCAATTTCAATAAAACCCTAAGGTTGTGCTGACTAAGGAGCTGAAATATGTATCTCGCTTTTTTAGGAATAATCTGCACGCGACTTATCACATTGATGGCGGGAAATTATCCTCCCGCCAAAATGGCTTGACCTTAAGCCACATGTGTATATAAATAAACATTGGTGTATGTTTGTATGTGTTCATATTTAATGCACACTTCGTTTAAAGTTTCTCAGCGAACACCGTGATCACTTGATGTATACATGTACATGGCTTGCCACACATGCTACGATGGGTTCGCAGCCTGGTTCTTGGAAGTTCTACATGTGCGCAAGATATTGACAGTCTGATCTAATTTCACTCTAATTCAGGTATTACCGAGTGACCTTGTCGCCGTACTCAAAAACAAGTTGTCGAAACAAACTGCCATATCCATTGATCAAATACGATTGATACTGAAAGGGAAGGCCGTGGCGGGTAAGTTTATAGCGTGTGCATCTCCTGTTACATTAACAACCTTTGACATTACGCTGTAGGAATTGTGCGCTTTACTTAGCGCACGAGCTTGTTGTGCTTTGCTCAAAGATAAAAGGTTTCCTCCATCGCATATACAATGAAAGCGAGTCCACAGGTTGGTAGCCTCGATGGATGATACTGCCCACCCATTGGAGTTTATTTCCTGAACTCACTCATGCTTTGCTTTTGTTTATAGACACAAGTACGATCGAGGAGGCCAAGCTCAGCGATCAGTCCAAGATTCACTTCACTATCAAACCAGCAGCCAAAACAACGGTCCCGATGCCCTCGGAGAGTATAGGCAAGTCCAAACCATCAACGAAAGCAGAGGCAAACAACAGGCCTGAAGTTAAAACTGAAGCGCAATTCTGGGCACAACTGGAAGACTACTTGAAGGGATCGAACCGCACAGTAGAAGGCTTCGTGCAAAATCTGCTGGCAGCTAAAAAATGAAGGCTACAAAATTAGGAATGGATGTGAGCGAACTCAAGATGGTTCTCTGTCCGAATAGAGAAGAATATCAAGTAATCCGAATATATGTATTAAAGAGCAGCGCAACTTAACGAGAAAGACCCTAATGACGAAGTCGAATAACAGCAACAATTTTTTTAATTTATTGTTTGGGAATGGAGTCCGCACTAAGTGGCCCACTCCCTGTCGTCCAGTAGTTTCGGACGATCAGCTAGTTATAAAACATGCCGAATATAGATTGCAATATTATATTTGGTGAGCCGTACATACTCTATAGCGTTTCCTTTTGGTTGGAAAGCGGATGATCTACGAACTTCAATCCAGTACACGTGGTCTTTGCACCAACACTTTCTCAATTTTGCTTAGATTGAGATATGAACTAAGGTCGCAACCGGTGTTTTGGCATAGCCGCCAAAGCGTTGGCGATGTATCGGGACTCCTAGACTCTAATAGTGCCTTTTCATCCACTCGCTGTAAGCTATAATCATAACGTCAACGTCCACAAGAATCACTAATCCAGGTCGGCGCAATGTCTGAACAGCAGCCATCTGGAGGTAGTATGCTGGTGAATAGGTTCCGATGCCAGTTGAGAAGGTAACACGTGTATGTGTTTGGGTAGTCTTGGTATACCCCGTACAAAGATATCTTGAAGTACCAGCAAAACTACGAAAAGGAAAACTACGGTAGAAGACACGATCAGCAAGCCTCGCAAGTAATGACAGTACGTACGTTATCATCGATCGTCCTAGCTATAGCTAGATATGTGTGTTTCTCCGCAGTAAAACCCTTGGTACAGGCCTGATGCTCTGGTGCGCCCGCAACCTTCCCACTATACCTCCTACTGCGAAATCTAGGATCCATTCTGAACACGAGATGCTTTCAAGTGCTCTAACTCAAGTTCTATATCCCGCCAACACATTTACGTTGCAGTACTACATTAAATCGATAGCAAAGGTCACCTGCGGAACTATACAGAATCTCCGATTGTTAGTGATTTTTTCATCCAAGCGCTGTCTTCAACTGATATGGTCTGATGACAATTAAGTAACTAGATGAACTGGTAAAGCAAACCTCCGCTTGCCTTCGGGTCATCATGATTACACGTCCCCCGAAGCAATGCTACGTTGCCACTTACGATTCCCTCGTACCTGAAAACTCTGTTTCGGCAACTATCACATTGTACAGTCTTCCAGTTCACCAGGAAGACCGAAAGGAGAAAACCATCACCTCCATGCCCAATCCCTCCTTGCCAACAGCCTCTCCTCTATACCATTTTACCAGCAGTAATACTGATTGGCACGCTACTTTCCGTGCCGTCTCCAGTCACACCAACTTCCTTATCTTCTATTCTATCGGGCACCCCGCCCACAGTCCTCTCACTGTTAGACCCTCACACCCCCATATCCACCACTATATCTGGTACCCCGTACTCCGCCTTCTCACCATCAGAATCTCGGTTTTCCCCATCACATTCAGCCTGCTCACTATCAGAAGAATCCTCATCGCCATTTGCATGCGCAGTGGCTTCTTCAAACGGCTCGCGTGGCTTCAGCTTCAGATGTATCCGCACTGACGGCCTGTTTTCCAACGCATGGGACGCCCCAGCTGGCATCTGCACCATGCCCGCTATCTCGCTGTCGAGTGATACTGATCTGTGGGATGCTGGCGATGCACTACTTCCCTCAGCGTATGCAGGACTGTCCTGGGTGCAGTTGCTACTGAGGTGGTCCTCTGTGTACGCAGTGAGTGCGTCGCTGGTGTCTCTGGTTGGGTTGGTGGGTGAGTGACCCGTCCTTTCGCGGTATCGGCGTTCGCGAGAGCGCTCAAGCTGGGTTGGGTTTGAGGTAAATGGAGACTCATCAGCATCAGCAAACACGATTCAGAATGAGCAAAATGCTATCGCTCGAGATATGGGTAATGCATGACGCTTCAAGTTACACCATACGACGGCACATACCTTCTTTTGGGTTTCCCCTTCGATGCGTGCTAACTCCTCGGCTTGTGCCCTTAACGATTCTTCTTCAGCTTCCTTTATATCAATTAACACAAGTGTACATGATTAGACCACGCACACACGCGAAAGCAAAGGTGGATATAAGGAGATAACCCTATGTACCTGATTCAGTACTGTCCAGGTTCATATCACAAGGCAAGCGAACGTCACAGCGCAGATACATCAGGATAACCACTACGTGTTTCCAAAATACGATACCATGACAAACACGAGAATAGCCAAGAACTCACACAAAACCATTCACTGTACGTACAAGTTCGGCGTATCGCGCTTCTTCCTCTATCTTGTCTCGGACACGCCTGGACACCCGCCGAGGCATGGCTTCCCATTTCAGCCTACGGGCAAAGAGGATGTACAATGTGGATATATGTAAGAGTGGCTCATTCCATGCGCGCGAGGCAAGCATGCAATTTGGCTATTGAATGTACAATCGGAATACTTGGGGAAAGAAAAATAGTCTAGGAATATCTGCAGTAGTACAAGATGGCCTTTACTAGCTATTTCAGTGACGAGCTCATCAAGGTACATTTTGATACGCCATGCTATATTCTCACAAATATACATCGACTGATGTTTATAGCCATTAGATAAGAACGTGTACATCAAGAGAGACTGCGGACGTCTCCACGACTATACTAGACTAACTTCACGTATGTGTTTCATACTGTTAGAAAGAATTTTTGCGTCTAGGATGATGAATAGATACAATCTGCCGGCACAAACCCTCGATGCCGCACCTCCACAAGATTATCCTACCTCGCGCTTCCTATATAATCATACGATAAATGTGTGTCCTGCACACCTTTAGGGTCTGCGACTCAAAACTGTTCGTTGTTGAGTATATATAAACTTGAGTGCCCGGCACATATCCCTGGTGATTTCGAGGATGTGTGGCACCGAGGATGCGTGTTGAGTACTTAGGGTTGTAAAAACTCAACACGCCTAGAGGTGCGCAGGATAATTCTACATCGTATGATTTATATGAGGGGCGAGGCGGGATGATCTAGGGTGAGTGCCGAGGATATGTGACGGATACTTCAGTGTAAGCAGACTCAACAGATGACACAGCTAAGTCGAACACCAGCACCCGAGCACGCCTCTATACTTCTCTGCTACGAAATAAGTACATCCAATTGAATCGCTTGAAAGGGTTGCTCGTAGTAACTCACCTCCTTGCTTCGGCTCGTATCCTCGCCTCCTCAGCCTTTTTCCTGTTTTCTTCCTTCTCCAATATCTCGGGCATGAGTTGCGTTTGAACAACTTCGTGCAGGTTCTATCAGGCAAGAACAAAGAGATACACTGTTACAAAATTAACCCCATACGTGTACAAAGAACTAGCAATTGAAGCCCATCGCTACCTTGTGAAAAGCATCCTATGATGCGACTATTTTCTTGCTTAACACCACCGCAACTAGCCAAGGCTGATTAAACGACCTGCGATGGAAATTGCTACCTATCTGCAGTCGGACGGCACATAATATTGTCTCGGATCGTGGCAACAGAAGTAAGATGCTTCACATCAGAAGCAAAGTGTACATACACATATCACCGGACAAAAGATCAATGCAACATACCCTTTCTCCTTTCAAGCGTTTGCTCAAAGTACTTGCAAAGGTTTCCCACTCCTCGGCATTTGAACAGACAAGTTCCCAGGTTGAGTCTTCTCTCGCTCTCTTTCTTGACTTACCTGTTGTTTTCTAGCGAGAGAATCACAGGTAATAGAGGAGAAGATCAGGACGTCGCATAGAGGCAAAGTAGATACATACAGCACTCAACCGCCAAGGAATAGGAAGTTCGTTCAGCGAATCGGACTGCGGAAGGCATTATTGCCTGCCTATCAACTGATCCATCATCTACTCACCTGGAAAGTTAAGGACGTTTATGCATCCATTCACAATATCCAGGTATATTCCGACAATCGCGCACTGAACTTATTTACAAATACTCAAGAACTGCTGGTTGCTCACACGCCAAAACACTGATACGTACCTTAGTTTTAGTTTCACGCCATAATCGTGAATCCTGGAAATAGTAGTACTTTGATTTGTTCTTGTCTTCTCCAATATCTTCGTGCCGCAAAAGATCGGCTTCAATTCCTGATAATAGTAATATTTGTGAGCTGCTACTCTCGAATAATTCCGTACCCGGTGTCTCCATGTTAATCCAACAAAGTTCTCAAATCGACATTCCAGAGTTTTTTTTTTGCAATTCCATTTTATCAAACGAATGTTCCTAGACACTCCTGCTGGGAACCTTTGATTTAACCACATACTATTAACAAGAGCGAGGCATACCTTCTAAACACATTCGCACGTCACTAGCTTCCTCCAGTCTCATATCGCAGAGTAGTCTTAGCACTGACAGCTTTTGCGTGGCAGTCAGCTCTGCGAATTTGTGGTCCTCCAAAGGGTAAGAAAACAAAACGTGCGCTGGTGCATAAGTACTCAAAGCAAAAGGATCGCCACACCAGATGGGTGATGTATATGTTATATCGTTTCGTAATTCACTATATTCCTTTGATGTCCGTGGAAAGTTAATATACCACCAAGTTGACACGGGCTTTATAATTCCACGGCACATGCAACTACAAATACACCCATTATTCTTCTCCGACAAGCTATCTGGCTTTTCGCATGAGATTCATGAAGCAAAGTATTCGCACGTTGCACATCATACGCATGCAGCTATACACCCGCCACATTCTATAGAGGCCACTAGCCTTCAGACAGAAGTATATACGTTGCCCACCAACAGTTTAATTGCAGGCTTTGATCACCAGGTGGTGTACAGGTGGTGTATGTGTGGAGGGTGAATCACTCACTCTATCTACTTGTAACCTTCTGCCAGTACGTTGTATAGTAGGCATCAAGACCAACTCCGACTACACTTTATAATGCGACGCATATGCACTATAAAGTGTAGTCTGTTAAAATACACACTATGTTTCATTACACGTTCCTACGACTCACCCGCAGATAATCCAGTTCGACACACTCCGGGTATCTCCGCGATACTTCTCTGATAAGCAGGACATCATACTCCTCGCTGTAAGAAATGAAAGGACATCATCCAGCAACGTGTTTAGTTAAGAAGCACACGCCTGCCCATAAAATGTATAAAGACCAATATATGGGCATTTTATATGTAGTATTCAGCCTGAAAGCAAGGATAAATTGATACAAACAGCACAGAATGCAATGAAATCACCAGCGTGTGCATAGTATAGGCCGAGACCTCCAATGCTTTAACCTTACCCCTTTTTCCTGAAGAATGGGCTCAGTAGTTTGAGTGCCAGGCTTTCCAGCCTGTCCAGTCCAGTGGGGCTGACCAGTAACTCCTCGAGGGTTTCGCTGTCCAAGTAAGGCACCTCGAACGGCACGTTGAAGGTACGTAAGTAGATGGCAACGTATGGCAGCTCCCAAGTACGGCGCAGCTCTGAGTGTATTTCAGAGGAATAAACGTAATCGAGTAGCTTAGCGGGACTCGAAAGCTAATCAGATTCATAGCTGCTAAATCCAAACGAACGGTAAACACAGTACGACTGGGCTAGACTATTGCATGCACATAATTCTTCCTAGAGATCAACCCGGCGAGAGGGCTTGAACAACCCAATTTACAGATAGAAATAACGGTACGAAAGTCTACAACCAGATTGCACAGCTGCAATCGTGCTACCAAGCGAATTATCGTATGTGACAGTATACAATAAAGCGACAAATGTTAACACGGCCCTTCCTAAGTTGATAGCAGGTGCAGCTGACAGCAATGTTCTAATACGCAACGACACCAACAACTTCGCAAGTGGCTGAAAGACCGCCACTACAGTAGATCCTGACCAAATCACACACGTAGCAAAAAAATATATGCATTCGTATGCAATATATGTATATAAATATATATATATATAAATATATATATAAATATATGTATATATATATTTATCTATATATTTATGGGTGTGTGTGTGTGTATGTGTACGCACGCACACACATACATATAAATATAATTATATTCATATATATATATATATATATACATATATATATATATGTATATACATATATATATATATATATATATATATATAATAATAATATATATATATATATATAATATATACTATATATATATATATATATATATAATAATATATATATATATATATATATATATATATATATATATATCAGAAATCAACAATAAATCTAGGACAGGGAGCATATCTTCAGTTAATTTAATATAATTAGACAGTATATACCCCTGCACCGGTGGTAGCTCACAATGAACATCTTGTATACACTAAACTATAATACCAGGAACAATTCACATACCGTCGATAGTAGACATCGTGGCCACTTTCGATGATAGTAACCACAAGTCCACTTCACTAATAACCGATACGGCTCCTTATAGCTACTATATATTCGCTATTGTATATACTGGGATGAATGACAGCGATCAGATTCAAGAGGTGTATTCAAATAAATACCATACGGTATACAGTGCAAATGCGAACACAGATTGTGCCTCACTTGACACGTAATAACGTAATAATATTTTAATATAATTATAGGTACACCTGTTCTTAGGTCTCTTGGGTACACCAAATGATCTCGTGATTCGTGAACCCGCTGCGTGTCTCGTGCCAGCCGCAGATATGTAGAAAGCGCGGTTGATTCCTAATTTAATCCATTTATCGGGTCTTATCCTATTTGTTTGGATTTGAGGGGCGAGTTTTTGAAACGGAAATTGGATCAAAAGCATCGGTATGTGTGTACAGTACTTATGAGCGACTACGCTTATCCTTTTTGACACAACATTCTCATATTAAACACTAATAACATAGGTACATATTCATCTATCAGTTATATGCATATATGTATTCATCAATCCAGATCATACAACAAGAGTGCAGGTGACTATAACTCAGCGCACGCATCGCACTTCAATACAGACTGTGGGAGAAATGTGTGACCAGCACAACAGATGAAACATATGAACTACATGCCCAATTGAGGCCACTGTGCACAAATACCAAAAGCAACTGCAGAAGCACAGAAGGTTGTACCATAATGGGTAAAGGTTCAGCTAACGAGTGCATGGTATTCCCGTTCTGCGAGGGCGAGGAGACACAGAGTGATCGCAAAGTGCTCACGTGCAGTGGGAGCTCGTGCGACGTCAGAGTGCATCCGGAATGCTACGGGTTAGATGAATATGCCGGGAAGTTTTCGTGTGATTCGTGCAAGTATGCAAGTGGTGAGAAAGTGACATGCGTTATGTGCCCGAGTTTATCGGGTGCGTTTAAGAAGACGGTGGGAGGCAAATACATACACGTGGTATGTGCACTATGGACCAAGTGCGAGTTCGGCGATATTGAGCTGTTGTCGGGCATCTCTATCACCAATGTGTTTCCTGCAGCATCAAAGGAGGTAAGTATGGATGAATCAATTTATAGGAAAAGGCTCAGATCTGAACGACCGTGTGCATGTGGTTTTTCTTTTTCTATGCATATCACGTCCAGTTATTGCCGGTTTATTGAATTTGTATTACCTCAACTTGTGGTGCCCTGGTATTCT